TATGTACTGGAGCTGAACGATTTCTTTCTTTCCTTTTTTTTTTTTTTTTTATTCTTCCCTCTCTTTTCCTTCTCACCACGACCATTGTTCAGAAGCAAATTGGAAATCTGGTAATTAGGCCCTGACTCACGGTGTAGTATTAGAGTCCCGAGCCAAAGTTCAACACCCTGAAATGAAATTTAAACCAATTAATCTGTTAGATTTTTATCGCTTGTCCGTGTTTTCTCAGCAATTCCCCCAGCACGTGGCCTTTGATCAACTCTCATACAAACGCTAAAATGTGTGCCTGCTGCTAGCAAGATGGGAATGACATTAACATGGTACTCATAAAACAATCAGAGCAGAGAAGCCCTCAAACAGGCAGGGCATAGTAATATTTAATAAAAGCACACACATAATCTTCAGAATTAGCATTTTGTGCCTTGCAGTACCTTTGGGAGAAGAGCTTTTATTTGTGGAGTGATCATTATTATAACAAAGAAGAGCTACCTAATAATTTCCACTTTAACTCTGCAATGTGCCAGGAGCATTTCAGAGCCATTATGCTAAACTGTGGTGGGGTAATCATGTTATTGTCATAGTTTGAAGGAAGGAAAATCTCCTCTACTTTGGTGGCTGGTGAGGGGTGGGGGAAGGGATTTAAAAAAAAGAGGCAAAATAAAAAAATACAAAACCCTAAACTTTTATTTTTAATGAGACTTAGAACCAGGAATTGGCTTACTGGCCTTGTGGATAGTTAAAGTGTAAAAGTGTAAAAATTCACTGATGAGGAATAAAGAATCTTTTACTAATTAAATCAAGAATTTGCTGGTAAAAGTGGTTTTGTATTCAAAAACTATCACCACCCCTCCAATGATACTTTCTTGGAGATAGAATTATATTGATTATTACATCTCTGGGCTGTATATTGAACCCTTTTGTAAATTCTTTTCACTCTAAAATTCCACTGAATCCATCCACCGTGGCTGTTTAAAAAATGATCTTTCCCTGCTTACTCCTGTTTCACTCTGGGTATCTTGAATGAAAGGAAAACAAGTCCTTGGCTGTTTCGGATGTTCTCTGCGATTTCTCAGAGAAAACCTATCCAAAAAGAAGAGAGGAGAGGCTCAGTGCCCATTAGTCAGCACAGCTGTTTGTTTTGTTTTGTTTTGTTTTGTTTCAGTGTCCATTTGCTCTAAAAAGTACAACCATTGTCTCTCCCAGCATTAAATGTTCTGTTGTTATTTCATTTTTTATTATTATAACATCACCTTAGTAAATACTCACTGAAATAAGTCAAACTATATAGATGTCTATAGAATAAAAGTTAATAGTCTCCCTTTTCCGTCAACACACTATAGTCACTTTCCCTTCTTGTAAGAACCCACGGGGGACAGTTGGTGCCTGTCCTTCCTTCCCAGCCTTTGTCGCTCATACCTGTTCACATATAACTGCACCTCCCCAACATATACTGTGCACGTATGTACTCATGCATCATAGATATATCATTTTTTAAATAAACAGGATCACACTTTTCATTAGTTTGCAAATTGCTTTTTTCACTTACTAACATATTTTGACATCTTTCTATATCGGTTTACAGAAAATTTTTTCATGCATTCTAATGATACTCCTAGTATTCCATACTTTATTCTATAGATACTCCTAGTATACCATAATTTATTTAATCACTCCCCTATTGGGCACATGTAGACACTTGAATTTTTTGCTGTCAATGCTGCGGTGAACATTTGGGTGCCTGGAGTTTGGGCACCACAATTGCAAGTCTTTCCAGGTCTGCTTTCGGTCTGGCGGGGTCCTTGTGACTGGGATAAAAGTGTGAAATGGCAGCCTGTGAGTTAAAGCCAGCCCATAAACATTTTCTTTGGCCCACACATTTTTAAAAAATATTGGATCAGTTGCCAACTTTTAAAGATTAGAGAATTTCACATAAAAAAATCTGGATTCCTGGCTTCCTTTGAAAGAGAAACCCAAGACACACTGGGCCTGCATTTGTGTGGGGTCACCAGAGCTGGAGCTGAGCAGGGCTGCCATCTGCAATGGGGACACATGCAATTCCCCAGCGTCCTCACCGCTTCCCAGTGCTGCCCAAGGCTGGGTGCCAGTGGCCATTCATCTCCGGGAAGGGAGCTGCTGTGTCCATTTGTGTTTCTTACCTTGGCCTGCAGGGATCTGTGAATTCTTAACAATGGCTCTTAGGCAGATTCCCTTTACCTAGTCACAGTGTTTTCTAACTTGCATTATTGGCCTATTAGAGTTGTTCATTTTTGGAGACTATTCCACGCAGTGTTGGATAGTCAGCATTCTTGACCTCCAGTTACTACATGCGTGTAGCATCCCTTCCTCACCCTCTCGGTGAGACGGCCCGTGACTGTTTTTGATGGGGCGATCCCACAGAGCTTCCTCTCAAGACTAATATGTCATAACAGATGTATGGGAGCACCATTAGAACCCTTTGGGGTCTAAACTTAGGAAGGTCTGCATGATTTAACCTGATCTAAGAACGGCATATAGTCTTGAAGCAGGGATAGTGGATGGTGCTGAGCGTATAGGTAGGATGGATTTAGGAGCATGTCACTCTCCCTGGGGTACTTCCTGGGGTACTTCCTCCTTCCCTCGAGGCTTTTCTTTTCTAAAACACTAAGAAAGTGGGGTCAAATATTGTTTTCTCACCCAGGTTATCTCTGGAAGCTTGATGTTCTCTTTTTCCTCTGTACTAGTTGACATATAGCTTTGCTTCTGGAGAATTGCTCACGGTATCTGAAAACATTACCACTTTCCTTAGGAAGTGTGTGAAAGCACATACACACACATTTGTACTTATATGGATTCTGTATCCTACAAATAACAAATGGAAAAAAGAAGGAAGGGATCAAGTCCAAAATCAGTGGCTTGACCATGCTGTTATAAGGCCTTTCCTGTAAGAGGGTTTCTCAAAGACACAGGAAAACATCCTTCCGCCCCCTTTTGTGCAATGGTGAAAAAGCCTGGAGGAGACCACATTTATCTAATGGTAAATTTTTTTAAAATATTAAAATATTTTAATTGTGTGATTAAAAATACAAAAATGAACAGAAATCCCAAAGCCAATACTGATAATAAACACCAAGAGCATTTTGAGGTGTGTGTATAATCACGGGGTCAGGGATTAATGGCACCGTTGGATTCCACACTTTGCCATCATATAGGACTCTCAAGACCAGTTTAGTTAAACTCATATCCCATTCTTCTCAGAAGTCAGGGACACTGCAATACCTTTTCTAGTTCATTCTAGCAACTATGTAGATTGAGTTATAAATTAAGAATGAAGATTTTGGGATATTAACAAAATGTTTCCAAACTGCTTATATTTTAAGAACTTTACACAGTTGTTAAATATAGTTTCTTACCTTTATAAATTGCTTGAAATCGTACATCATATTCCACCATTGGTTTGGGAGTGCTTAATCATGCATTTAAACATTTTTACCTTTAAAGAAAGCTTTTGTTTAAGAAAAAGCCCTGTGTCTGTGGAACATTGATCACAACCTCTATGTATGTTTAAAAAATTAGACAAGAATTTTCAAGTCAAGTCATAAATCATTTGCATTTTCTTGATTAATTATTTTGTTTTTGAGAGAAAGTAGAGGAGAAAAAAAAATCATCTGAACTGCCCAGTTTTAGTTGTAAATGCGTTGCTATGAGTCCAGCCAGCATGAAATGTTTAGTTTGGATATTTCCAAATTTCTCTGTGCAAATTTTTGAGATTAATTTGAATAGAAACCCATTCTACTTGTTTGTGTGGTGGCACGTGAGCATTGGTCCCACTGGGCTGGGCTTAATGTTTTCTTTTCTTCTTGCAAAAGTTAAAGCATGACATTTTGCCAAAGTCCAGTAATTTTTTGCCAGTTTTTTTCCCCCCGTTAAAATTAACTGGTGCTCTCCTTGGCTTCAATGCCTGGAAAGTCAGTCTTAGATACTTAATAAACTTTTTATTAAAGAGGAGGGTCCCATTTCGTGTCCTTGCACAATATCTCCCTTGCTTTAGAATTTTACTTTGTCGTTGTTCATAAAAGTAATCATGAGAACAGCAGCATCTCATTGTGAAGCTAAAAATCCTCAGTGGCATGGAGGTGTCCTCTGAAAGATTTCAAAAACAATCCAACAATTACATGTATGTCCAGCAATTCTGTTGAAAGTGTGCCATGCTCATTAAGCAAACCACCTCCAGTCTATTTGGAATCACAGTATTTGCAAATGATTTCCCATCTCCAAGGGCCATTTATAATGGAAAGAGAAGAGAGATGAAATTTTCAGAAAGTCATTTCTGGGGTTTTATGCATGGGAAAGACAACAAAGCAAAGGTCATGGGGACTCTGTGGTTCGGCCCTCAGTCAGCTATTTGGTTACGTAATTCACCCCAAGTGACTCGGATTTTTTTGCGTCTATAAAATGGGATCCATGACATTTATTTGAAAAAAAAAAAAAACTTAATGATTTTTAATGAGAAATGTTGCTATGTTAGTGTCACAGACAGAAGTCATGGATCGAGAATCATTTCCTGCTCTGGCCTCCTCTCAAAAGCTTCCTGCTGGCCAGAAATTTTTACCTAAAATTGTATATATTTTTCTTTTCAGGATGCAGATTTAATTATGAATTCTATAAGGCTTCTGGTATGTTCCAAAAAGTCACTCATTTTCACAAAAAAAAAAAAAAAGAAAATCCTTAACATTTCATAAATTAAATTTTACTTCCGTGTTTTATTTCATAAGGTTTCAGGTTTGATAAGAGATTTGGGTAAAAGATATGTATCCTAACAGAAGCAATGAAAAGAATGCTTTTAAAAACTGAAGTTGCACCCTTAGGTTTCAGGTCCTAATGTGGCTAGGAAATGCGGAGATCTTGAGGGACTTTCTGTGAGTGAAAAGATAAAAGATTTTTTTTTCCTTTTTTTCAAGTCTCCATCATTAAAGTTTGGTTCTAACAGCAGACTCCTTCTCTTTTTCATGTGTGTTGAAAAGCAGCTACTCCCTGTATCAAAGCCATCAGCCCGAGTGAAGGATGGACGACGGGAGGCGCAACTGTGATCATCATAGGAGACAATTTCTTTGATGGGTTACAGGTCATATTCGGTACCATGCTGGTCTGGAGTGAGGTAGGTGTTGTCTGAACATTAATATCTAATAGCTTGATCTAGTTGAAGATACTGTCTATACTTGAATTTCTAATAGAATGTATAGAATTTAGTGGTGCCACTCTGGGTGGGCCAGCGCCAGACTGCAGAACTTTGGGAAACTAGGGAAGGTGGATTGGGGTTACCAGGAGGCAACACTTTCTACTGGGGTGACTTCCATCCTCTGGGCTGTTAGCACCAGGAGAGATCTTCTGTTTTGTAACTTGTCCTCGTGGGCTTCCCGTGGTGGTAGACGTCCTATTGTATATTGGGAAGTGAAAAAGAGAGACAGAGTCACAAAATATATAGGAAAAGCCCATTCTGACTTTGGCAAGGTTGCAATCTGTGGATATTCTGTAGGCAGAGTCTGCTGTAGACCAGTCTTCAAGGAACACCTTTCAAATGATAGGGATGATCGAGGTGTAGGTGATCCTTGACTTACACAATGGATTTTCATCCAAGAATAGGTGATTTGCTAGGGAAACCTAGAGGAACCCAGGGCTTTATCCAGCCTTAGGAATTATGACTTTCAGGTATCTCAGTGTATGACTGGGACTATATGAAAATGACTATGCTGTCTTTATGCAGTGCTTTCCAAGCACCGTGATCCTTTTATTAACCTACCACTTAACTTGTCTGACCACCACCAGCATTAGCACAAGTCTACAAAGCATGTACATCGACATTACATAGATGCCATGGCAAACTCTCCATTGCTTTCTAAATTCTAAGACTTGATTTCTTAGCCAGCATTCTCAGATCTCCTTCTCTTTCACCTCACCAGAGTTTATAATAAAAACAATGTCAGGGCTACAGGGTACCATAGGGCTCATCCATCCCACTTGCTCTATAAGTACATAGTCACTTCATTGAGACTTACTGTGTGCTAGAAAGCATGCCGAGCTCTTGACATAGATCATCTCACTCTTCTCTCTATACTACAAGGTGCTCTTAACATATATTTTTTGTTGATAAGGATACCAAGGCTTAGAGATAAATAGTTATAACCAGAGAGCTGCTCCCCAAAGCCCATAGAGTATAAGTGGGATGTATGTGACCACATAAAGATTTCCATTTCTAGTTGTTCTCCCATGACACCACGGTTTAGCCCATTTAGGTATTATAAATTTGTGCTTTTTCTTTAGAGGGGCCAACAGAAGAGCAAAGAGTTGGGTGTGTGTGTATTTCCAGAGCAGAGCCTGTCCTTGTTTTCAGGCCTTCTGTGTACACTGCTTGCTGCCAGTAACCCACTGAGGCAAGCCCCTTGCCAGCTCGTGCTGCCACTGCCTTGGTATTTCCCACGCAGCCAGCAAGAGGCCTGCACTTGGCCGGGAAATCAAAGCTCTCATGAAGCTGAGTCAGAGATGGTCTTCTCAGTCCACCCAACTAATTGTTACCCAAATCGGAACATTTTAGGCATGAAAGGTAGACTAAGCTCCCCTGCTGACTGCGCCCCATTTTTTGTTGCATCCATTGGGTTGTAAATTATAAGTGTCAAACCCATGGCATGTTTTGTTGCTAACCTGGTGTCTTCATCCTGCTGGAGACAGCAGTCCTCACAACGACAGTCCCTCCCAGATCTTGTGGGCTGTGTCTTCATCCCTTTCCATCCCTCTTTCTGTTGCTTCTCATGGAAGTTGGGAGAGGGGAAGAATGAATATAATGGGACTTACTTCCTGTCACTACAGTCAAAGCGAGGCCTGAGAAGTGGGGCTCAGAATTGGCAGTGAGTCTTACTGACCCTCTGAAAAGAAGGTAGGTTAGTCTGACGCTTCCTTTAAAGCCTTCTGCCTTCTTTGTCCAAGTAGACCTCACTGGGTGCAGAATAAGGACACACCAGGAAATCATTAATTTGACCTCTGTCTTGCTCCTAGTCAAGGTCCCCCTGTTTCCTCTTGGTTCCCTATTGTCTTGACCTTTTTGGGGGAACAGCTAAGGGAGGTTAATCTCTAACTTAGATTTCCCCAAATTGCTTTAAAGAATTTGTTTCCATATGACAAAGTTGATAGAAGTCATGGAAAGGAAAATCTAGCAATATCTTTGTCCTGGTCCCTCGGCTCTCCCTCCACTGCCGCTGATTTGCATGTGCCAAGAGCCCCTCTTCAGCAAGGAGGCAAGAGTGGAGGATGCATGCTCCTTCCTCGCTCACCCACTCCTCCCAAACTGCTGTCCGTTGTAGCTGTGTCGTAGATCAACTGTGACCCTGTCCTGGTGGAAACCTACTACATAGCTTCCCAAAATATTTGAGCAAATATTCTTCTAAAATAAGCAGATCCAACTGCATTAGCTGTTGAGCATCTGGATGGAGGACTGTAAATTGGGCTGTTATCGTCATGATTGTCCCAATGTTCAGAATAATGAAGCTTGCAGAAGTGAATCTTTTTTTTTTTTGTATTATTCTAAACTATTTCTATTTTTAGGTTTTCATACAGGCTTTTTGGCACACATGATTTTCTCTGCCTCACATACAGGGAGAGAATTTGGTACTGCCCCAAATAAAATCTATCGTATGATGATGAGAAATTAAGAAATAGTTCATACTTACTAAGGGTTTATCATGTATAGGCACTTTATAGATATTACTTTGATCCCATGATACCCCTGTGTTAGATACTCTTGTCATTCTGACTTTACATATGAGTAAACTGGAAATCAGAGAAGTTAAAAAACTTGCCCAAGGTTACATAGCCAGATAGTGCTAAAGATTGGGTTTGAACTATACTGTATGTTTTTACAAAGTAAGTAAAAGTCCTAGTTAATAAGAGAACAAATGCAGTCTTGAGAGAGGGAAGATCGACAGAATGAAAAAAGGGAGATGTCTCAGAATCCAGGTGGTACAGTGGCAGAAAGTAGTAATAACAGTGGTAGTGGTACCAATGGTTGCTTTTAATCAAATAAAATTATGTAAGTGCCTTTTATTTTTTGTAGGAGCAAAAAGAAAATTACTAAGTTTGAGGCCATTTCTCAACACTTGCATTACATAGGAGCAGAACTGGATATTGGGAATATTTAAGAAAAGACTGCAATGACAAAGCTATAGATGAATGCAGAGTGTGACTAATATTAGCTAACATTCATTGAGCACTTAGTTCCTGCCAGGCAATATGCTAAGTGTTTGGTATGGCCCTCATATGAGCCTCCCAACAACTGCATATGATGTTGTTTTTATTTTACTGATGAGGAAAATAGAAGCTTGGAAAAATTAAATACATGGTTCAGTTATCAAGTGATAGAGGTGGGATTTGAACCCAAACAGTCCAACCCCAGGGCTCTCCTTCTTAATTTTCCATGGTTTAGCCTGTGCCACAATTTTTATCCTAGGGTTTTTCCTATCAGGCCAGGGTATTATGCTCACCATTGCCAGGAAGCCTTGTGCTGAAGGCATCTTAACAGCTCCTATCACATAAAGAGGTTAGGTAGAATTGGCATGCACACAATCAGAGAGGTAAGAGGGTGCCCCTCCATTTTCCAGTTGTCTATGTTTGCGGTTGGTACCATTGAGTCCTAACAAAAATTTATCCTTATGAAGTAAAGGATAAATGCCTTGTGCTAGGGCAGGACAGTTAAAATGTCTAGGCCTCACCTCTCGAGTTGGACCTTTATCTATCCAAAGTCTTTGCCCCCAGATCACGTGACCTTGAAGTTTATGCCACCTCTAAGACCCAGTACTTTTAATGTTAAGTAGACATTTGTCATTTCTCCATTTCCTTAACTCTGTACCCCAGCGCACCCAGGCAGCAGGCCGGTGGGCCAGGACAAGCAGACAGTGCTTTGGATTAGCACCTGATGCTGTTATTTGGAGCTTTTCTTTAGTGAAAGAATTTTAAAAGAGCCAGAGAAAATAGGACTGGCTGAAATACCCTCATCTGTGCTCTTCCCCTACCAACCCAATCTTTTGCAAATTAGTAGCTCAGTTAAGTTCACTGATTGCCCGCTGAGGTTTGGAAAAAAGAAAGGTGCTCGAAAGTCAGGGATGCCTTCTGGGAGCTCCCAAATTCTGATGACTTTCTTGTGAATTTGGTTTGCCACCTTTGTTACTCTTCCTTTATTGTTTCTTGCCCTTTCTCCTCTCCTTCTTTTTAGAAAATAAATTATTCTACTGATATTCTCATGTTTCTTACCTTGCCTTACTCCAAAATTCTTTTTTTAAAAAAAATCTTTGCAGGGTTTTATATATAAATCTAGGAAAACCAACGAGGTTGAGGTTGATGTGTGATAATGTTTAATGTAGGTGAAGTTTTTTCTTGACCAGAGATACACTCGGTTGTTTTGCTTTTCCACTAACATATGATGTGGAACAGGGAGGGGCTCCTGCTACTGGTTTGTAGAACTAATTGCTATTTTAATATCTCCTCTGAATTCCTCCAATTTCTAAACAGTGAGTACTGAGGACTGGTTGGCTTGCCTGCTGGGTGTCTAGCACTGGGATAGGTATTGTGGGTAATTAAAGTTGGGCTTTGTGGGATCTGGTGTTTTATTTGGAAAGACAGCTTGCTCTCATGAAGCAAATTAGAGAGTTACATAATATATTTATATAATCTAGTATTAAATTGGTTTAAAATTCAAGGCAAGGTTCTAGAAGTCAGAGAAAGTGGTATAGTCAGAAGTAGACTATTCAAAAAGCCTATCAAGTTCCTGTTATATATATAGGGATGGATCTCTGTGCTAGGCACCTTATGCTCTCATAACCCTTTTTTTAAAATCATGGGAATATCTGAGAGAATTAATACAGCTTAAGAATTTAAACTGTCTATGGAAAAAAAGTGCAACAGTGGGATTGGGAGGGAGCAGAGAACAATATTTGAAGCAAGGGTTTAGATCACATCAGATAGCAGAGGCCAAAGAGCCAGTTGAGAGAGCATGATATTAGTTGTCCTTCCATTGTCCAATCAGAGAATCTAGATTTAGTTAATGTTAGTCACTGGGCCTCAGTTTCCCTATCTGAAAATGAGGGCCTTAGACCAATACTCTTTGAAATCAGT